TAAAAAGAAAATTACTTTCTGTCAGCTTTGATCAGCTGCTGACACCAACACACCCTGATGGTTTAAAGGGGACTGAGTAGTTTAGTTTAGTTGTGTTTTACTGGTTTTAGTTAAGAGTTTTAAACTAAATATGTTTGACTTGGAGCTGAATGATTTTTGTTAATAAACTCTTATAGTTTGAACAGAAGTTGTGGTGAATTTATTCCATGTATGTGCAGAATTAACTGTTTGACCATGATTAGTGCTCGAATCACTCTTTCATTTATTGTTCTAACACATAAACAATATATAACAACCGAAATAATATTTGATTAAATAAGATACTTACTACCCCTATCGGGGAGGGCAATAAACATCTTAGAGTATCAGAAATATAAATTCCCAGCTGGCAGGGAATTGAATAGACTATAAATCCACAAAATTAAGGTGGAATCCAACCCGGATGAGCATTGAACATAAAAAAGCCTCTCCTCGTGTAGGAGACAATTCTACACACAGTGGCAGTGGCGGTTCTAGACCAAATGTATCAGGGGGCCAGGAAGGGGCCAGGGTGTTTTCATGCAGGGCACAGAAAAGCATGAAATAAAAAACAGGGCAAGGAATTAAAATATATTGAGATAGCTGCATGAAGTGAAATTTCCATTCAATTGGGTTTATTTAAAATTCTATTTCTTATTAGGTAAATATACATTCAGAATTTAGGAATTTTACTTATTTTTGACTTAATTTAAGTTATAATTACCATTTTCCATAAAATCTTTAGAGCATTTAGCAAATGCAAACTGGGATCCTATCTCAGTACCACTGAAGCTATCACCTTATTGTTTTTAAATAATTAGTAAAACAGAATTTGTAAAGAAAAAGAACGAAATAGATCCAAAGGATCAGTAACCATGTTTGTTCCAGCGCATATCATCATTAGAATTTTTTGCGTGTTTTATCTTCATCACAGTGGCCATAACAGGGGCCAGGACACGGTCTACAGGGATACTGGGCCCCGTCGGCCCCTGTCAAGAACCAAGTTTCTGCCAGAAGTCACGTGATAAATGAAGAATTGTCATTCTGACTAACCGACACCAGGAGGCGCCATCCAATCAAAACAAATTAGTTCACACAAACAAGTTATGTATGATTCCTCCTGTTCCTACCAGAGACCTTTATGACTCTTTAGACCCAGTTCAAGCTGCTGTTATCTGATCTAGAACCAGTACAGAGCAAATGGACCAAATTTAGCCACTGATTGTAGCACAAATCAAACCAACATGAAAACATGAACCCATCTGATGCTTTAACTAGACTTAACTACTGTAGCTGTGGGAGTGCTGACAGATCTGCTTCTTAAATGAGGAGCAGTTAGTGTTGATCAACTATGACTCCTCCCCCTTTCTCACTCAGCTTCAGAAATCTCCAAAACTACAAAATATTTGATTATTGTAACAATTTAACCCTTTAAATGCCTTTTTTAAATCCTATTAGGGCTGTCAGTCATTTTAGTAACTTTATCTTTTCCTTAAAACACTCCAACCTTAATCTACAATATAATTACAGCATAGCTGCATAAATCCAACCCTAAACCTTAAACTTAGATGCCTGCTGAGCTTAAACCAGGCTTTGATCCTGTAAGGCTTCATGCTCATCAAAAAGACACAAACACCAAATGAATCACCATCAATAACCACAGATGGAAGCAGGTAGGTAAATGGGATTTTAGTGATGATTAAAGTGTTGCATTGTTTATGATGTGGCAAAAAATAAACCATTTTATATTTGTGTTTACAAAAAGATAGAATTATAGTCTGGAATAATGCAAGAAAAAACTCAAATATCACAAATTCCCTTCAAATTAAAATGCTAACTTTCCCAAATGCTAGGAGGCATTTCTGTCCACAAAGATTTTTTGGTTAAAAGTTGAAAACCGTAACTCAGAAAGCTGGGGTGTTAAAATATATGGTGGGATTTGTCTTTAAATCAAACTCTATGTGATTGAGAACATTAATAACATATTAATTTTTTTTAAAGATGGTTAATTTAAACTGGATTTCCAATGAGTTTGCAGATTTATTTGGTTAAATTATTGTCATGAGGATGATGACTGGTCTGACTGCTCATTTCATTCGCTTGTCTTGCTCTGCCCAGTTCTCATTGCCGATCATCTGATCCCCCTCCTTCAGCCTCTATTTAACCAGCCTTCAACCAGTCATAAGTGCCAGATTATCTTTAGCCTTTGGTAAGACTTCTCTAGCATACCTGAGTTTTTTCTGATTGCCTGATCCTGACCTGTTCTGCCTCTGGTCCTCTAAGCTTGCCTGTTCCTGTTCTGATCTGTTTGCCCGACCTGTCCTCATACTCCTGTTGTACTTTGCCTGCGTACCAAACCTGGATTTCCCTTCGGTAACTCTTCGGACCTCTGATGTCCTGACTGTGACTACCAAGGACTTTTACGACACCACCTTTGGCTGTGCTCTCTGGAATGTCCTATCTTCTTGGTTCTGATCTCCTGCCTTTTCTTCCATCCTCCTGGCTTCAGTGTCTGAGACACTCTAGGTAGTGCCCGCTGCGTTTTGTTGGCAGCTGACCAGCTGGAATCTACCTCATCTTGTGGGCACGGTCTGAACTATAGGATCAGGTTAGTGACTCACATGTTCATTATCATCCTCCGCCAGATTAACAAGGTCACTAACCTGTTGTCTCTTCCTGCAGAGGTTCCTGCCTTAGATGCAGTTGCTGTTCTCTACAGTTCTGTCTTTAATAAACAATTGAAACCTAACCTCTCCACCTTGAAAACTGGGTCCTTTTTTTCTGAGCCTGACTAATATTTGTTTTACATTGACTAAAAATAAGCAGATTTATGGTTCGTTAGAATGTATTCTGAATTGACTGCTTGTTCATTTAAACAATAAAGTTTGATTGATTTAAGAAAAAATTAAAAGGTCAGTAATAAAATATTGAATCGATTATAAGAATATAATTTCACATTGATATTTATTTTAAGGTTAAATGATCATTTATCTACTTTGGGGAATGTTGATTTCTGCTGTTACTCTGGCTTTGTGAAATGCTTAGGTTACATAAGCATACAGCAAATGTCCTATGTAATGGTGCTGAAATAAAGGCAATTTAAAGGCTGCTCATTGAGTAAAGTCTGATTGCAAACATCACTGTAGAGGCCGCTGTCCTTTTCAAGTTGGGAATTGCACAAATAATAATCTCAATACTTGACAGTCATCAAGTATTTATTTAAAAGCAACTATATGCTGCTAAGTAGACACCTTGGTGGTAATGAGTGCAGGAACTGAACACTAACCTTCTTAGCTAAAACCACACAAATACAACCAGGAACAAGAAAATATCTTTCTCACAAAGATCAGATATACAGTCAGGGCTGGGGAAGCAGAGGTTTAGCTTTGTAGAGACTCATTAGATGTTATTTAAGAGATATCACACACCTGTCCATCTAAAATGTCAATAATGCAAAAGAATAACCCTAACACCAGACAAATAAAACGAATGTCAGCAAGTGGACAGCATGTAAGAGACAGAGCCAGGTGTGAGGATGTGGGGAGTCGAGTTAAGGGGGATGAGGGGGGTTGGGATCTTAAAAATCATCCCCGTTCTTAATTGACCATCCCCTGTGACAATTTTATTGTTGAATGTGAAAATTCAACATTAAAAATGGGTTTAGACAAACCAACAACACATGGATCAAAAAAAGGAAAAACAAATTAAGAAGAAAAAGAGGGGTAGAAAGAGTGAGAGATGATCTAACTTGCTGTCTGGTTCTGCTGTTTTTCAGTCTTTCACAGCAACCAGCAACAGCAGTTTGCTTATCGCATGGTTTAAATCAAACAAAAGAAGATCCAATAGAAAGTTCAAGCAAGCTCCTCCTGGAATAAATATCAGCATTGAAAGATAATCTCTGACTAAACCAGTATCGTTTAACCAGATACAGGTAAAAAGCCACAAAGACAAGAAAAACAGAGGTTTAAGTTGTTCATCCTAAACTAGCAAACATTATGGCAATAAAACAAAACAAGGAGCCAGAACCAAAGAGGTATCAACACTAAAATATCTCCATCTGCAGAACATCAAATAGCACATTCAAAAAAAGAGGTTTCATAAATAAGAAAGACAGAAAGTAGAAGAGCTGCTTTATAGTCTGCCACTGTCAGTGGAGCAATTCTAGAAGCTGCTGATCTATAATCCATTATTTATTATTCAACCAGCTGTTCCTACCAACATCTGTAAGGTGTCCTGCAGATCAGAAACTGTTAGAAACAGTCATTTTAGTGCCGTCAGTAAACTAATATGCTTCAATCAAGGGATCTGCAGTCAGTGAGGATCTATTATTGTGTAAAATCAACCAATCAAAGCAGGTAAATATCAAAATGGAGCTTCTGTTTAAATAAGTTAAAACTCTACAAGTTCATTTCCGTTCTTCTGTTTGTGAGACTCATTTGTTTTTCAGCTTTAAAAACAGAAAACATACATTTACAGTATGTTAGAAAGAAAGAGGAACTAACCATAAATTTCTATTTACAGGAAGAAGCTTTATTCTGAGGCCCCAGCAGGAAACGATCAGTGATCAGATCGTGAAGTGACGCCATGATGGAAACATCTCTGCATTTTCTGCTCTGTGAGTAAAATAGCTGCTGTTTAAGTAAATTAACTGTTTTATCTGTTTTAACCTGAGAGTTTGATCAAAAAGAGAATTTAAAGAAAGAACTTCATCACATCAAGCAGGAAGAGAAATTACTTTACTGCCCTCTTTGTGACGCTTAGTAACACAGGATTGGCTTTAAGGCACAGATCTTAGATAGTTAAATTTAATACCTTTCGAATAAATCTTTCTATTTTAAACTTTAACAAAACAGTTTAATTTCTCCTCAGTTCCCTGTTTGCTGCTTTGCTGCGTGATAAATGAAGGTTGGTTCATTTCTATTAACATTAAACTCAATCAATATTCTGATTAATAAACATCATTTTGACAATAATATAAGTCAATGTATTTACATACCACAGTCCTCCCAGCTGGTCTGACTGTGAGTCCCAGCCGATCTCAGTTCTTTCAGTTTGAATCTGTGTCTCTGAGCTGTGAGGAAAACAACAGCTCTGCTGGATGGACTGTATGGAGGAACACAACCAGAGGAACCAGGACTCAGTGTAGAGATGGATGGGGGAAACCAGCTGGATCTACCTGTAAGATCAAAAACTTGATCCAATCAGACAGTGGAGTTTACTGGTGTTCGTCCAGAGAGGGAGCAGCCAGCAGCAGCATCCAGCTCACTGTCACTGGTAAGATCAGACTGTGGAGTTAGTGTTGATGAAGCTGTGTGGAAATGGATGAAATGCTGTAGTTTGTCTCTGTGTTGAGGTGGATCAGTGATCCTGCAGAGTCCTGTCCTCCCTGTGATGGAGGGAGATGACGTCATTCTGAGCTGTCTAACAAAGACCACTCCCTCCAACCTCCCAGCTGCTTTCTATAAAGATGGCTCCCTCATCAGGACTGAGCCCAAAGGTCACATGACCCTCCACCATGTGACCAGCTCTGATGAAGGCCTCTACAGGTGTTACATCAGGGGTCATGGAGAGTCTCCATCCAGCTGGATCTCTGTTGAAGGTCAGAAAGATAAACATCAGTCCTTTAAGTCAATGGTACTTTTGTGATAATTTAATGAATATCTTTTTATTTTAGATAAACCACCAAACCCTGACCCCACCAGAAATACTCCTCCTCTGTCTCTCTTTTCTTCTCCTCCTCCTCTTCCTCCACCTTCCCAGTCTCTTTTCTATCTGCTCCTTTCTCTTCCATCCATCATTGTTGTGGTTCCACTGCTGCTGGTTCTGGTTCTGATGGTGAGACGATGTGTTCGCAGAAGGTCTGAGGGTGAGACAGGCTTCTATGGCTACATGCATAACTTGTTCTCTGCAGGAATTAATACAATAAAATCTGATTATGTTGGATTTTCACATGTTTTACAGCTAACGTCTGAAACTGTTTCATTTCATAAATGTATTTTATTTAATTAATTTCCCTTCAGGTCATCCAGAAGTTGAAGAGGACGATTTTACTGACAGAGACGTCAAGATTTCCCATCATCGACGACTGAAAAACAAACTGAGCAAAGGTAAGATTGTGTTTATTTATTTTTTTAGTATGTTTTCTGGTTTAATAATTCCATTTTTAACAGAAACCATTCATCAAAAGCTGTTGAGTTCAGAACTGAAACAGCAACAAAATTATTTAAAAAACATTTAAAAAAGCAGCTTTCAGGAAACTGAAACAACAACAATGAACAATAAGATTAGAGATTTAAAACACCAGGATGAGTGAAGAAGGACGGACTAATCTACAGAGATCTGCAGTTTAAAACAGAGAGAGAAGTGATGTTTCAGAGGTCAGAGGTCAGTGGATTCTAGGGTTGAGGAGCTGAGTGAATAAAAGTCCTGCAGCCCATAGTGATAAGATGGGAGGACAGAACAGAGAGGATGGAGGAGGCTGATCTGATGGAGCTGGTGGGGATTAAAACGGGTAGAAGAAGTTTGTAGATGAAGCTAAATTGAACTGGGAGCCAGAAAAGCTGCTGAAGAACTGGAGTGATGTGGATGTAGGGAGGAGTTGAGATCTGGACCCTCTGCAGCCTGAGAAGAGATTCACTGGGGAGACCAACAAGAAGGACATTCAACAGTAAATAGGAAAAGTCTTCTAAGAATAGTTTCAGGTGATCAATGAATTAGACTATTATGTAAAGATTTGTAGAAAGTTCCCTTTGAAATATATTCTATCAAAGGAGGCCATTTATTTCACCTTTACTCTGATAACAGAGAACACAGTTTATACTTTTTAAACAAATTAGGTTTTCTGCTTTATAGTTTGATTAAGATTCTGTTTCCATAACTTTTCTATTTTCTGATTTTAATCAGATAATCTGTTATTGAGACATTGATGTTGGTTCTGTTCAGTTTATCATTAAGCTTTTCTCAGACCTAAACAGTTTTTATACAGTTTGTTTCACATCGTCACTGTCTATAAATATTAACCTTTTGATGATGATGCATCTGATCAGTATCTAATCTCTATTAGTCTGTAGCTGGTTGATATTTCAGCAGATCACAGTTAAACTAACACCTCCTTTGCTGCACGATGTGCTGCAGTTTGTGGTTTTTCTGCTAACTGACTCTAAAAGACTCTGCTGCCATCAGGCTTCCTGTTTCTGTGTTTTGGATCAATGTGGACCTCAGTAATATCGACCTTTTGTTAAAGTCTCACAAAAGTTATTTTTCATTTTCTATCAGAATAAAAATGCTTGTTGTGAATTTACGTTAAAAACAGGATTCTGAATGTCAGAATGTTAAAGAAGAGCTCAAGTTTTTACGAGCACTTTGCTTCCCTTTTCTGCTCTCTGTATCAGATCATGACGCTGATGCTTCAAGCATGTGTGAAAGCAGCATGCCTGTCACACCCAGCAGGTTAAAGAGATCTGCACCTAGTTTATGTTGTATTTTTTCTGTCAGGATCCTCTGTGTTTTGTGATCATTTATGTTATGTTTGCACCGTTTGCACAGCATATATTTTCACAGTGAGAGTATCCAACTCCTAATCTAAAACGTTTTGGTATCTTATTATGCAGCTTCAGAGGTTCCTTGGGTGTAATGCTAATATCAGCTACATGTGTACGTCTTTATTTTGATCGAGCAACAGGACAAGGTAGAACTACAGCACATAGAAGTCCCATTCAATGTCTCCCACCCCTAATTTGCCCTCCCCATTGAAACTCGATGAGGTGATAACCAAATATTACAAGCTAGACCACCAATGATAAAGCCTTACTCAAAGTCACATAATCCCAATGGCCATCAAAGTGAATGCAACAAAAAGTAAAGAAAAATATTGTCTGTATTGGTTCATCAAGGTTCTGTAAAAGTTCAAAAAATCCACTGGACTTGGTTTCCGAGATTTGAAGACGTTTCGCCACCTTTCCAGGAAGCTTTTCTCAAATGTCATCAAGGCTCCAATAACCAGGACAGACTGGTGTTCAGCACCACAGACAGCTTCAGCCCAAAGCTCAGGTTTTAAGGCTTTTTTATTTTATATACTCTAATGATCCCAGAGGGAAATTACTTCTCTGCATTTAACCCATCCCCTTGTGGAGCAGTGGGCTGCCAATGTGAGGCAGTGTGAGGTTAAGGGTCTTGCCCAGAGGGGCAGTCTATGGGAGTGGGGGATTGAACTCACAATCTCGGGATTCAAAGCCCTATGCCCTAACCACTAGGCCGCCACTCCCCTAAGTGGTTTTAGGCTCCAGACTAAGAATAACTTAGGTTTGTGAACAGTTCAACATATTTCAAAGTAGATTTTTTTCAGCTAATTCCTTGTTTCCAAAATAAGAAGAAAATCATTACATTACTGCTCTGAAAGGCTGGAAGTCAGGACTGTTGCCACTTTCTTATCCTGTTGAGGGAGCAGCCAATGTTGGTGAAGGCTGGCAGCCTGACGGGACTTTTCAGGCCTGACTCATTTGACACACAGGCACCAGACTGAGACACTGACTGCTGTGATGATCAACTCGTTTTTTATGAACTGCATCAAAATGGTCATTCATTTATTCCAGCTGCCAGAGATGTATATGTTATATTACAGCTCCACAGAATGTTCTGCTGCACCTAGATAATACCTGGATAGGACCTGGCTAATACATGCAGAACCTCGGACTTTTTCTCACCCTTTAGCACAGAGGTTCTCAAATCCACTCAAGAGCTACTATCCTACAACTTTTTGATGTACCGCATTTTAACACATCTCAATAAGATGAGTGGCTCATTGCCATGCCTCTGCTGAGCTAACGGAGGGGATTGATCCTTCAGATTCAGGTGTGTTAGAGAAGAGATGCATGTAAATGTTATAGCATGCCAGCTCTTGAGGACTGGACTTCAGCAGCACTGCTTTAGCAGCACCTCCTCCCCACATCAACTCATTTCCCCCATTGCTGTGTTCTGGGTTTTTCCTAAAGTTGAGAATATGTGTGGTTCTACTCACATGTAGAACTGTGCAATGCTATTTAGGAGATTAACTTAGAAACGGAGTGAGATTCAGTTTTGTGATATCTTCTTTAATTCTGAGATGAGAACATGATCATGTTCTAATAGTTTTTCGAGGTCCTTTGCTATAGGAATGCCTAGATATTTAAACTGGTCATTGTACCAAGCTCAGCAGTACCTGTTTTGTATTTCCTCTGGTGGAGCATAAATATAAGACAGCAACTGAGTTTTGTTGATATTCATTTTATACCTGATAACTTGCCAAATTGTTTGAATAATTGCAACAAAACTGGATAACTGGAAAACAAGCCAATTTATGTTTCATACCTTTGATATTTATTCATTTAATATGAATAATTGTTTTGTCTAATCGATTGGGCTAGTATTTCTAAATATAATGCAAACAGTAACAGGGACCACGCACACCCTGGTCTAGACCCTCTTTCTAAAGAAATCCCGTAAGATAAATGTCTATTATTTTAATTCTCGCTGGGGGATTATTATATAACGCATGTATTGTTTTTATTATTGTTTCATGTTGTGATATTTTACCTGTAGATTATGAAAATATGATTAACTAGAACTGGAGTTGCCGTTAATTATTTAAATCATTCGAAGTCAAGGGTAAAATTAATTCAAAGTTCTTAGTTGAATAATTATAACTATAATCTCTTTACTCTCCAGGATTTTAGGCCTCTCACACTCTGAGTGGCTTCTGGGCCAGCTGTTAAAATCCAGTTATTCTCACCAGTTTGGCTAGGCTATCAGGAGAGCTATTAATTACTAACCAAAGAAATATTGTCTCTGTTTATTCAAACATCACCAGAAGAAGGGTGGATCTGGTCTGAGTGATAAACCACTCGCTGTACAAAAAACACAAATGACATCAAAAATAATTATGACTACATTTCTACAATCCAGGATTATAATAAATCTAACATCTATGCAAATGCTATACTAGAAACTACTGGTATACTAGACTCCAGGGTGTCCATGGAGGTTCTGAAGAACTGGGGCGATGTGGTCAGAGGAGCAGGTGTGGGTGAGCATGACAGCTATAGAGATGTTTGCTGGAGTTTATTGAGGACTTTGGACAATGAACTAAACAGAACAATGCTGCAATAATCTAATCTGGAGGAGATGAAGGCTTGGATGAGAACCTCAGCAGGGAGAGAGATGGACAGAGAGGAGCAACAACTTTAAGATGGAGGAAGGAAGTTCTTGGAATGTTGACGTGGCGTTTGAAGGAGACTTTGCTGTCCAGGATAATTCTGAGGTGAAGGATGTGAGTGGAGGAAGAGCAAGTGGTGTTGTTATAGTGAGAATGAATTCAACTGAAGGAAAGTTATTATATAATAATGATAACTCCAGTGAAATGTTTTAGCTTTATTTAAATAGCTGAGCTAACAGGTTCTGCATCAAAGAGGCTCTTGTAGCTGAAACATTAGTTTTATGAAGCTGCAGTAAAAACATTTCCTGATCCAAAGCAGTGATTGGATTCTTTCTCCTCTTTGTCCTCAGCTCCCACTCAGCTGTGCTTCACTACTGTTCTCTACAATGAGATGGAAGAAGAAGAACATCTGATGATCTTCACTCCTGGACCCATACTGTAAAATAATGTTGAGTTGTGCCTGAAATCAGATTGTTTTCATTTGATCTAAGAGGCCCTACTGCTTCCTTTAATACATTATTAACATCATAAAGTCGATCATTTGGTCTGATTTCTGCCCCTATTATTACCAATGAATTAATACATATGCTGGAAAACATTTAACAGAATAATTCAGCACCAACACAGGACTTAGCTGTTAGAGATCAACACATGCATTGATGTATTGATGCTATTTGAACCATCACTAGTATAAAAAATATATAATCAGACTGACCCTATGATTGAGCCCTAAGCAACTCCTGAAGTTGGATGTTCTTTGGCTAAAATAAAGTTTGTATCTGGACAGAGAAGCTCCAGTTTCTTCTGATGCTCCAACTAT